GAAGGCCACAGCAAGTGTTTTCTTCTTTTCACGTAAAAGATTTTGCATAAATTCTGCTTCATATGAATATAAAAATAAGTCTGCTAAAAACGGAGCGCAATTTGTACCCAAGGGAATTCCAATAGATTGTTGGAATACCTGGTCTCCAAAAACCACAAAGATATTGTCAATCAGAAACTCAAGCATCTTCTTGATGTCAACTTCAGAGTACTTATGTGTGCAATCAGAAACTGTTTTAACAAAATAATCTTTCAAATGACCAATGACGAGGTAAGTAAACTGACGAGTTCCATTTTTGTTTAAGAAGCAGCTGTCAGTGATATCAAAAATCCTGGATTTTAATTTGTCATGGGGATTTGTTGTGTATACGCGGGTATGTTAAGGCAGCACATGGACCAGAATTCGGCGAATTAAGACTTTTTTATAATAAGGTTACACTAATAAATCGGAAAAGTCAAGCTTAAAACTTTTGTTATAATTATGCATTCTATAGACTTCAATGGGACTATTACTACATGAAGCACTTCACCACGACGTCACTACGTGACGTCTATAATTAGAAAATATGTCTTAATGAAAAAGTAAAAAGTTCAACACTACCTTGGGGATAATTCATTTCAATTTGTAGTAATAATTATGTTAAAACATCTATGTACCATGAAAAGTGCTGCTAGAATCCTACTCTCCTTACGTAAACCATACGATTCTAGCAGCACTTTTCAAAAACAATTGAATAAGAACTTTAGATAGAAACAAAAATTAAGTTTCAAAGTGTGCGGCGTAGTGTTGAACTTTTGCATCTTATTAGTAACGAACGACAAAGGAAAGGATGATCGGCAAGTAAACACCCTCCCTACTTTAATTCTACGAAGAAATTGTAAAAATATATTACCATACCTTATTCATAAGCTTTAATCCCACATGAATCACACATGATATTCATTCTAAAGCTTTTAAACTCCGTTTTCTTGTGTTTGTTTACATGAATTCTCGTTACGTTTCACTTTCACTCTGCTACTGCATGATCAACAGTTATGACGTCACGGATTTTGTATTTAACCCCTGTGATAACTACAGAAACCCAGAAACGACAAAATTCTGTTCGTATAATGCCTCTGCATATTTTGAATGATTTTTACGATCTCAAATCAATCTTATATATCGATAATAAGAAATTGTTATCTCAAAATTTCACGTCATATAGCTTACTATGACGTCATATAATATAGGCAAGTAGAATATTTGGTTGTAACCTCAACCTACCTGCGTAAAGTTGAAAAGTCGTAAGTTTTTATGGTGTTGATTTTTGTAAAGTCTTGTGATTTCAAATTGTCCAAAAGTTCTTTAGAATTTTTAAGTATCCACATCTGATTTACACCACTTCTTGAATATATAGTTGTGCAATACTCTTGAAGGTTTTCCTTCACTACTGTCAAAATTTTAGCGAAAAGTAACGAAAGAGGCTTGGTTGAACATTTACTGGAACTTTCAATGTATCTATGTTTGTAAGGATTCTTATGAAGGTTCGGAATCCAATATATATAAGGTAGTTCAAATTCATTTTGGCTCTGTGGAATATTAAAAGTATTCAAAACTGACAGGTGATTTTGAAGAATTTCTTCCTTAGAAAGAGAAGTTTATGTATTAGTAGGCTTACCACCAGTAGAATTAAATCCAAGTTCTTCTAGAATGCAATATATATAATGAGCCTTACAAACGAAGACAATGTTGTTACCTGCTTTGTCGGCAGGAACCAGTACGTACTGATCGTGTACTCTATCTAATTTTTTTTTCACTTCTGGTTTATTGAACACAGAAGGATAGATGGTTTTTATTTTGCCCCTCAATCTTTTAATACGTGACTTTAACATGGATCTGATACATTTAATCCATTCTGACAAGGTGTCAATGTCTTCTTTTTCATATCTAGCCCATCGTCTGGCGTAATTTTCAACACAATCCATAATATTTATGAAATTCCGACGCCAGTTGAAGGATTGGGGTTCCCTATATTTAAGACCTTTTAAAATAAGTGATCTAAGGTCCTCATTACGAACTCTTTTTACGTCACCTGTAATAACGTGTCCAGCAGGACTATTGTTATAGGACGAAGAAGAACATGAACACGAAAGGGGATTATTTTTCAGATAGTCGATATCCAGGCCATGTAAAGTGTTTTTGTAATTGAAAAGTTTGGAAGCAATGGTCGATGTATATTTGTAGGAAATACAAGGCGTAGTCTTTAACTTGAAATATGGTGGAATACAAGACTGGACCCTTTTGTGATTAATATTACTTATATTAACCGCGTCAATTCCCTTATTGGCATATTGAAGTTTAATTAAGGAAAAGACGGATTGTTTTAGCTGCATTTTCTTCCGTGAAACGTGCGGGTTTAAAAAGCCTTTGATGTGCAATATCCATTATCACAGAACCGAGCCTATATTAAGGTGTCGAGGAATCTAAATTTGGATGTTCCTTGGTCTTTTCAAGAAGACTATTTAAAAGTTTCAAAGGGACAGGGTAAAGTTTGGTTCGAATATGATGTAGACCTAGCTGTTGATTTACATAAAGTAGTAATGAATCAAAAGAGACGTCGTGTATTGCAGGTTTATTGTACGAACGATGTCCATGACTATGCTTACGTCTCTGCGTATTGTTAAAAAGTCCCATTACATTTATATTATTACACTGCGGGCTTGAAAGATTTCCAACACTATCGACATTGTCATTACATCCATAGGGAAAGGCTGTTCCTAGTTTCCTAATCCAAACTTCTTCACGTTGTCTACGGAAAGGTGTACTCAACGACGGAATATTTGCGTGGTGATAAATCTTTTCCAGAATTCTAACTTTCATTGATAAATAGAATGATCAGGTGAATAAAAATGTTTAAAGAAAAGCTGCTGACCACCATGATTTATTTGAAATCGATGACCTGATATTCTTTTGTTAAGCGATCCCTTGCTTTCACAATCATAAATAAGTCCACACACATTACATTCTATTCCATAGACAACATTAGAAGATTTGTAGTTCAGATTTTCCCAAGTTTTGGTATAGAAGCTCTGTCCAGTAAGATTACTGGTGAAAGAAGTGTCAGTTATCAAAATGAGAAGACGAATAGAAAGACTCATAGACCAACTCTTTTTTCTTATACATTTTATATAGCCGTCTTTAGCAATTTGAAAGAAGAACCCCACGAAAACCCACCCCCATCCTAAGGTAAACCCAATTTTTCAATGCTTTTATTTTGAATATCTTTGGTAAATATTTGTATGTCCAACTCCCACCACACTGGTACCGATGCCTATGTTATGATAAGTACAGTAAAAGAAAATCATAAGAAAGAATCGAAGTAAAATTCAAAGTATAGAAAAATCAAAATCGCTCACTTTCACATCCTAAAGCAACCTCATCACCGAAGAGTTATCAAACATGTTAAATTATTTACCATATCTAAGATTTGCAAGAATATTGAAAAAGCCATACACATTTTTTTTCAAAAGGAGTAACTTATGGTGGATTTTATCTCATTTTGAAAATAATTATGTTTTCAATGTGCGTTGATTTGATCTCAAATTTAACGCACTTTGAAAAAAATTTAAACAATTAAAGGAGATTCAAATCTCACTGTGGTACGTGGAAACTGGTTCTCCAGATGAGACCGTATAAACCGAGGTCCTATGTCGCGGTTGGTGCTGGCACGAAAAAGTTCCCTTCCTGCACAATAGCGCTGAGTACTGAGAACAGGACAACATTTGCAACTCTCCACCGGCAACTGGTAACGATTCAAATTGAAAAATTCTCGAGATCGACGAAAACAAAATACAATAATACATACTCAATGAAAAGCTTTGTCACAATAAACATACGCAAGTGAGTTAAGGCTAAATATGGATGCTTCTGTGCATATGAGCTAATTAAAATTCATTCGTTGTATATTTTATGTAGAGAGAAAGTTCAAATTTATTTTCTAACACAATATAAGTACCCACGGTTTATTAATGCAAATACACATTATGACGTCATTGTTCTCTCCCATTCAAGGAAATAAATCACATCAAAAACGTATGTCGATGCAAGGGCGTATCCTTTCTAATTTTAAATAAACAATGTACAATATAAGGTGGAATATAGATAAAATTAATAAAATTGATGCAGTAATCCTATAACTTTCTTAATCAATAAACATTTTAGGAAACTTACACTGAACTATGAATGTTTACCCTATTTAAACTTAAAACTGTACGAATAGTAATTAAATAATCGCAGTACGGATATTTGTGAAGCAATATCTTAAATTCTTGGAATATCCTTTCTACCTTCTTTCTGTAAAACAAAGTATGGTACATGTTTACCCCTGAGTCGAAGCTATTTTGTTGATGTTTCTTATTAGCTTGTGTAGTAGAGGTCGCTTACGTCATTATATGACGTCATTTTGTGTACGGGCTGTCACATGTCGTGGGTACCAATAATGTATTAGAAAAACAAGCATTAACATTTTCTGTGCGTTAGCTAGAGCAATTATGGAATTTAATTAGATATTTTGCATAGAAACCTCCATATGTAGCCTTTTTCCTTTGTGCATATTGAGGTATGAATGCCTTAGCTTTGACCATTCAAAAGTTATAGCAGCTATGGTTAACCTTTTGTTAAAACTGGGTAAAACGCAAAGGTCAAGGCCACATGGTCAAATTTGGGGGTACCGCAAAAAAGGTCCTCTAACAAGAAATACACATGTGGAATATGAAATCCATAGCCACACCCTTTTAAATGTCTTGGGCAAGGTAAACGTATCGCATTCAAAGAGATAAACAGATAAATTTAAAAAAAAATGTAGTGTCCCTATTAGATTAAAACTCATGAATACCATCTCCTTTCAAGTTCACCAATTTTAAGAAGGAGAATTAACGATCTCCTAACTTTGTAATGTCTCCGTTTAAAACTGCAAAAATATCAAATTGATAAACTAAGTCATTTTCATTTCAGAGTGTTTATTAAACAACAAGAACCCAAAAATGGCTTCTAGACCAGACCCTGGCGGCCGATCGAGGTTTGCCAAACTCGGAATGGCAATAAACGAAGAATTGACCCAGGCCTGTAGAGATGTCTTAGAAATGGAGGTACCTCCTGGTCTTGTCTACAACAAAGTGAAAGCATCATCAATTTATAAGAACATACGCCATGAGCAAGAACTTCGTCTCATAGGCGCCAAAACAGATGGTTATAAAGAATTTGATATTACATTGTTATATACACTAATAAGAAATATATGTACAAAGATTCCTAGTCCAACAAAAAGTTGGGGAGGAAACACGATGCCGTCAGCAAGAGAAATAACAATCGGCGATGACATTGAGAGGATACGATTGATAAGAAACAACATGTGTGGACACATAAGCTCGGCTTCTACCTCACAGACAGAGTTTGATGACACGTGGTCAGTCATAACTGATGTATGCCAAAGACTGCAAACATACACAAAAATAGACTATATATATGGACTGAGTAATATTCAAAGTCAAGCCCTAGAAGAGGAGTACAAAACAACACTCATAGAAAAACTTAGGGAAGAATACAAGAATAGCCATTCTCTATTGAAAAAAATATCTTCTCTGGAGCAGGATTTGCAAGAATTGAAACTAAAGTTCGAAGACAAAGGTGACTATAATAAATACAGTCATTAAAATATTTACAATATAAGATATATAGCGGAGATCAGTGTTTCTCAATATAATCATGTGGAATTTGTTTCCTTAAGATTTTTGCAGTTTGAACAAAAGTTTGCTTAGCAAAAATATTTCCATGATGCCCTACTAGACGTCGGAACTATGGTTCAAACAATATTGCAAAATGTTCAATTGATTGCAAAAACATCCGTCTTGTTATCGGTTAAAGAACGTAATCGTAATTTATGAATTCAATCTATGAGAGTTCGCGTTGTACACGAACTAAAAAAATTACAACCTGAATATGTATCATGTTGTTTTTACATGCCAGTGTTGAAACTGATGTATATGTCTCTGAGGAAGTAATGTAACACTTTCATATCCCTAGGCTACTGTAAAAGCCTAGTCTACCACTAGATATAGAGTCAGAAACCCCCAGTTGTTCACTTCATTTAATCTTGTTTTAACAAAATCATTCTATATTTATCTTATGCTATGTTCCCAATATCACGATTGGCGCCACGATTGATATCGGGGACTCGAACGTGAAAAATCGTAGTGCTCGTATCAACCCGATACAAATCTTGTGTTCACTCGCGACTATCGTATTGATTGTGAAATTTTATTTGACTATCAAAACTTTTTTCTACGATTAACACGATTAGATTTTAATCGTTATCATTGCATCAAATCCCACTACATAGTAACTAACCTCATCTGCATCGTACGTAAACGCATCAAATCTTGCTTTCATATCGTTATCATCGGGATCGACCTCGGAAAAGACAAACATCCCGCAGAATGGCAATTCGTTGCGATATCTCACGTCCTGTCACTATCTGTAACACTTCGCATGGCCCTACTGCTCATTTGCTGACACGGTGTTATCCCGCTTAGAGACGATTTGATACGGACGTATGAAAGTAAACGCATTAGACACGAGTGTTTACGCTTTGTTACGGACAACCAGGCTATATTACAAATACTTAAGCATGCAAAAATAACGAGAAAATTGAACACGTTTTTTTCCCAATTCAATTTAAAAAGTCCGAGTTTTGGAAAATATTTTTAAAATGCCACCTAAAACAGGTACAAAAAAGAAAGAAGGGAAATCATATCTTCTTCTGGACCCGAACCCGTTCGATCAGAGGCATTATCAGTGAAGAAAAGAAAAGAAAAAGAATAAACAGCTTTACTGCTGCTTTTGCTGTGCTTTGACTACAGTATGACCATAGTTACAATACAAACACCACGTTTTTGAAGTTGTCATCAACCTTTATTTCTGCCATTATTATTGATTGTATGTTTATGTTTTGTTCAATTTTTATAGAAAAAATATGATAGACCTAGTGTAGCCAAATATATGTCTGTCAGGGTACAATCGTATATCAAAGCTTGTTCTATCTGGATCCTGATCGTGAAAGACATTGCAATGAACGTGTTATTCTATAACACATTAGCCCAAGAGTGCACGATGGACGTACTATACCATACGAGAACGTATTAAAACGTGGGAGAACCTTTCTAATCGAGAACTTGGATCGTGATATTCGTCACAGATCGAGGTCCTTTTTCGACTAAATCTTGATAATCCTATAGGAACGTAATTCATCTTATCCGAACGGTAGTTAGATCGTCAGAGATCGGATCACATGAAATTTATCCATCGTGTGAATAGCGCATGAAAGCGTAACGAAACGTATGAAAAGGCCCCTATACACATCTCTTCGTATCTTTGTATAAAATTCAATAAAAACACTACGATTGATGTACCGTGAAGTGCGTAACTGACCGCACGACAGTGGGAACGTAGCATTATACGGTAAACATTCACATTGATGCAGTCAATAAATATGGTGGATATTAACTTGTATCAATGACTGCCCGTTTATCCATTTGTAATGTATATTTTTTGGATTTACTGGAGTGAAGAAAGTGCAATTTTATCATGTTGGCAAGTTAACTATTATTTTTCCAAGTGAATTCAAATTTACATCATGATAGGGCGATAAATTGCATTTCTGTCGATGTGAAACAATCAAATTTCTGTAAGATATCTAAAAAAAATTTGCTTTCAATGAAATTTGATGTTATTTTGTTTGCATTAAATAATAATCTCATTCTCATATTTTTTCTATGCTATGGCTTGAGCATCCTTTCCATTCATATTTTTGTTTGTACCTCATCTTAAACCACAATTTAAAGTCAGTACATACATTCGTTTCTATTTCCAAATCCTTTAAATTACCCACCTTTTTGTAGTTAATATATGTTGCACTTATTTAAGGAATAACTGTCTTATTTTTCGAATTTATGAAGTGATCAATGGATTGGCTTGTGTGATAATTTGCATAAACGCCGAATGCGTTTATGCATAAAATTATCACACAAGCCAATCCATTGATCATCTTCATGAATTCAAAAAATCTGCAATATACATGCTTTGATTCCGCCAATCCACGGGCTCCAAGCCTGCTTCTCTCTAGGTGTTGTCCCTCCCTGCACGTGTTTTTTTTGGAACCGCGCCAAAACATTCATGATGAAATAAATTACATTAACAATTGGTAATTTTATCTCGGACAAAGACATTGTAAATGTAAATATAATATGTTTCAATACTAAATTCAGATTATTTTGATAAAACAATTTTAGTGGACAATTATATGGTTTTATAAAAAAAAAATGAATTACATTTTAATTTCATATATTCTGTTTTTTATTACACTTAATAATCTTAAAAGGATATATCTGTTACAGAAAACACTCTGGTAAAGGAAATTCTCGATAATTGGCGAGAAGACGATATTACCTTTATTTCTACAAGAGCTAGTGAAGTGGTTAAAGAAAAACTTGAAAGTCTTAACCTTATCACTGTGGTTGGAAATTCTGGGTCCGGAAAATCTGCAATAATTCAGCATATTGCACTTATTCTTAAAGAGCAGGGATGGAATGTCATACCGGTGGATAAGTTGGAAGAAGTTAAAAAGATCTGTTCATCTGGAGTCTCAGAAAATCGCATATTATTTGTATTCAATGATCCTTTAGGTAAGGAATCGTTAGATGAAGTTTTATATCACTCATGGAAAAGTTTAGAGAAAACACTGGAGATTTGCCTGAAGAAGAACAAGCTATTGATATCATGTAGAAGATGTATATTTTATGACAAAAGGGTCAAGGGTAACTTATTTGATGAATCCACTGCAGTAGAAATCGACAACAAAGAGAACGGACTGACTGTGAAAGAGAAAGAATCGATTTTTAATCAGTATTCAAAGAATCTGCATTTATCGGAAAAGGTTGTTATCGAAATAATCAAAACAGAAGCTTATTTTCCATTGCTTTGTAAGGTTTTTTCAAGGGAGGCAAACTACAATAAAAACGGTGTTGATTTTTTCAAACATCCGTACAGATTTATTAAAAAAGAAATTGAAATTTGGAAGAAAACAGACAAGAAAAGATTTTGCTCACTTATCTTGATTGTAGCTTTCAAAAACAATTTGAAAATTGATAGCATTGTAAGAAATGATATTTTTATGATGAAATATAAAAACATTTTGGGAATATGTGAGTTACATGAAAACACACATGTTTCAATCATTCGTAGTACTCTACATGAACTGAACCGCTCTTATGTCAAACGTGTCGGAAATGCTTTCCAATTCCTTCACGACTTTATTATGGAGATAACGACTCTGGTGTTTGGTGTGGATTGTCCACAAGAGACAATTCAGTACGCAGACAGCGGTTTTCTGAGACGTCGGGTGATGATAGAAGAAGATACAGAAAAGGAAGATCGCGATCCTTTCACTGTTTACCTTCCTGAAGAGTACGTTGATGATCTTGTAGACCGACTTATTTCTGATATTAAGACAGACAATGTTATCGATGTTCTTTTGAATCCCTGTCTTAGGAAAGAAAGCGTGATCAAATCTTTTAAGAAAAAGGTAGAATCGTTGGAAAAGTTTCCAGAGCTTCTTACAAATATGGAATGTAAGAGAAAAGGATCAGAATTTTTAAATGTATTTGAGAGCTTTGGTTTGTCAAGACTTGCATTCCTTGATTTAAAAGAAAAAACATGTCCTTTAATTGGATTAATTATATTTTGCCATAATGATATTTCCTCTTTCTGCTTAAACAGTATGCCACAAACAAAGTTAAAAGAATATCCAATATTTTCTGCTGTATGTGCCAACGTTGATTCAAATTTATTGAAATTCCTCAGCCTAGAATATAAAAAAGAAGCTGTGGATGAAATGTGGTATATATTCTTACCAATTCACATTGCATCTGTATTCCATAACTTTTCAATAATTGAAGAATTGGTTAGACTTAATGCTGACGTTAATAAATTAACCCCTTATTGTAGCATGACTCCATTAATTCTGGCAGCAGCAAACACTGAAGAACATTTGAAAGAGATTGGAAAGAAAGTAGAAGGAGACAGACGTAATAAAACCATTCTTTCCTTACTGAAAAACGGTGCCAAAATCAATATGTGTGGTATCGATGGTGTCACTCCTCTCTACATAGCTTGCCAAAATGGACATCAAAGCACTGTGCAACTTTTATTAACTAATAGCGCTGATATACATTTATGTGACAAAGATGGTAAAAGCCCCCTCTATGTAGCTTGTCGAAATGGGCATGACAATACAGTAAAGCTTTTACTAAACAACGGCTCTCAAATCAATTCATCGGACAATGATGGAATCAATCCCCTTTTTATAGCATGTCAGAACGGACATGACAGTACAGTGCAGCTTTTACTGAATAACGGTGCTAAAATAAATTCTTGTGACAACAACGGGAGAAGTCCTCTCTATATTGCTTGCCAAAATGGACATGACAACACTGTACATATTTTACTAAATAAGGGTGCTGAAATTAATTTATGTAACAGGAATGGATACACTCCTCTCCACATAGCTTGCTATAAAAGACATGAGAGTACAGTACAAATTTTACTGAAGAGAGGTGCTGAAATCAATTCTTGTGATAGAGATGGAAAAAGCGCCCTTTATACAGCTTGTTTCAATGGACTTGAGAGTATGGTCAAACTCTTACTGAACAACGGCGCCAAACTAAATGCATATGACAAGAACGGAATCACTCCCCTCTATCAAGCTTGTAACAATAAACATGAAAACACCGTACAACTTTTACTAGTCAATGGGGCCGACAGCAGTTTATGTACGAAAAATTCAGTCAGTCCACTCCAAATTGCTTCTTATAAGGGCTATGACAGCATGGTACATTATTTACTGACAAACGGCGCAAAAATCAATTTGAGTGATAATCATGGAGCGAGTCCTCTTTGGAAAGCTTGTCAGAATGGACATGAAAGAACGGTTATAATTCTTCTGAAAAACGGAGCTGATATCAGTATCAATCATGAAGATGGTTCGAATCCGCTTTCTATAGCGAGTGAAAATGGGTACCATAGCATTGTGCAACTTTTATTGAATAAAAGTCTTGATACCAACTTATGTGACAAGAATGGAAAAAGTCCCTTGTATAAAGCATGTATAAATGGACATTTCAATACAGTACACCTTTTACTAAACAATGGTGCAGACATCAACTTATGTAACAAGAATGGAGTCAGTCCTCTTTATATAGCTTGTAAAAATGGACATGATAGCACGGTACAACTGTTACTGACCAACGGTGCCGACATCAATTTATGTAATAATGATGGATTTAGTCCCCTTTCTGTAGCATGTGAAAATGGACATGATAGCACTGTACAACTGTTACTAAACAACGGTGCCGACATCAATTTATTTAACAAAGATGCAGTCAGTCCTCTTTGTATAGCTTGTAAAAATGGACATGATAGCACGGTACAACTGTTACTGACCAACGGTGCCGACATCAATTTATGTAAGAATGATGGATTAAGTCCACTTTCTGTAGCATGTGAAAATGGACATGATAGCATAGTACAACTGTTACTAAACAACGGTGTCGACATCAATTTATTTAACAAGGATGCAGTCAGTCCTCTTTATATGACTTGTCGAAATGGACATGATGACGTAGCACAACTGTTACTGAACTACGGAGCCGACATCAATTTATGTGACAAAGATGGAGTCAGTCCTCTTTGGATAGCTTGTCAAAAAAGACGTAATAGCACAGTACACGTATTACTGAACAACGGTGCCGACATCAATTTATGTGATAATGATGGAGTCAGTCCTCTTTATATAGCTTGTTATAATGGACATGATAGCACGGTACAATTGTTACTGAACAACGGTGCCGACATCAATTTATGTGATAATGATGGAGACAGTCCTCTTTATATAGCTTGTCAAAATGGACATGATAGCACGGTACAACTGTTACTAAACAACGATGCTGATATCGATTTATGTGAGAAGAATGGAACCAGTCCTCTTCATATAGCTTGTCTAAATGGACATGATAGCACGGTACAACTGTTACTAAACAACGATGCTGATATCAATTTATGTGATAATTTTGGAGTCGGACCACTGTGGAGAGCTTGTCAAAATGGACATAGTAGCACAGTTCAATTGTTACTTAACAACGGTGTTGATATCAATTTACGGAATAATGATGGAATCAATCCTCTCTGCATTGCTTGTCAAAATGGACAAGGCAGCATAGTACAACTATTACTAGAAAAAGGAGCCAACATTAATGTGTGTTATAATGATGCATTTAGTCCCCTTTATATTGCTTGCTTTAATGGGTGGAATACCACGGCACAACTGTTACTGAACAATGCTGCCGACATCGATTTATGTAACAAGGATGGGTTCAGTCCTCTTTATATAGCTTCTTATAATGGACATGATAGCACAGTACACCTGTTACTGAACAACGGTGCTGACATCAATTTATGTAACAAGAATGGAGTCAGTCCTCTTTATATAGCTTGTCAAAATGGACATGATAGCATAGTACAACTGTTACTGAACAACGGTGCCGACATTAATTTATGTAATAATGATGGATTCAGTCCCCTTTCTGTAGCATGTGAAAATAGACATGATAGCACTGTACAAATGTTACTAAACAACGGTGCCGACATCAATTTATTCAACAAGGATGCAGTCAGTCCTCTTTATGTGGCTTGTCAATATGGACATGATAGCATAATACAACTGATTCTGAACAACGGTGCCGACATTAATTTATGTAATAATGATGGATTCAGTCCCCTTTCTGTAGCATGTGGAAATGGACATGACAGAACTGTACAACTGTTACTGAACAACGGTGCCGACATCAATTTATGTAACAAGAATGGAGCCAGTCCTCTTCATATTGCTTCTTATAATGGACATGATAGCACTGTACAACTATTACTGAACAACGGTGCAGACATTAATTTATGTAACAAGAATGGAGCCAGTCCTCTTTATATTGCTTCTTATAATGGACATGATAGCACTGTACAGTTGTTACTGAACAACGGTGCAGACATCAATTTATGTCATAATGATGGATTCAGTCCTCTTTATTTAGCCTGTGAAAATGGACATAATAGCACTGTACAACTATTACTGAACAACAGTGCAGACATCAATTTATGTAACAAGAATGGAGCCAGTCCTCTTTATATTGCTTCTTATAATGGACATGATAGCACTGTACAACTATTACTGAACAACGGTGCAGACATCAATTTATGTAACAAGAATGGAGCCAGTTCTCTTTATATTGCTTCTTATAATGGACATAATAGCACTGTACAACTATTACTGAACAACGGTGCAGACATCAATTTATGTAATAATAATGGATTAAGTCCTCTTTATTCAGCCTGTGAAAATGGACATAATAGCACTGTACAACTATTACTGAACAACAGTGCAGACATCAATTTATGTACTAATAATGGATTCAGTCCTCTTTATTTAGCCTGTGAAAATGGACATAAAAGCACTGTACAACTATTACTGAACAACGGTGCAGACATCAATTTATGTGATGATGATGGATTCAGTCCTCTTTATTCAGCCTGTGTAAATATACATGATAGCACTGTACAGCTGTTACTGAACAACGGTGCAGACATCAATTTATGTAACAAGTATAGAGCCAGTCCTCTTTATATTGCTTGTTATAATGGACATGATAGCACAGTACAGCTTTTACTCAACAACGGTGCAGACATCAATTTATGTGATAATGATGGATTCAGTCCTCTTTATTCAGCCTGTGAAAATGGACATGATAGCATTGTACAGCTGTTACTGAACAACGGTGCCGACATCAATTTATATAACAAGAATAGAGCCAGTCCTCTTTATATTGCTTGTTATAATGGACATGATAGCACAGTACAGCTTTTACTCAACAACGGTGCAGACATCAATTTATGTGATAATGATGGATTCAGTCCTCTTTATGTAGCCTGTGTAAATGGACATAAAAGCACTGTACAACTGGTACTGAACAACGGTGCAGACATCAATTTATGTAATAATGATGGATTCAGTCCTCTTCATATAGCCTGTCAAAATAGACATGATAGCACTATACAGCTGTTACTGAACAACGGTGCCGACATCAATTCATGTAACAAGAATAGAGTCAGTCCTCTTTATATTGCTTGTCATAATGGACATTATTGCACAGTACAGCTATTACTGAACAACAGTGCAGACATCAATTTATGTGATAATGATGGATTCAGTCCTCTTTATGTCAGCCTGTGAAAATGGACATGATAGCATTGTACAGCTGTTACTGAACAACGGTGCCGACATCAATTTATATAACAAGAATAGAGCCAGTCCTCTTTATATTGCTTGTTATAATGGACATGATAGCACAGTACAGCTTTTACTCAACAACGGTGCAGACATCAATTTGTGTCATAATGATGGATTCAGTCCTCTTTATGTAGCCTGTGAAAATGGACATGATAGCACTGTACAACTGGTACTGAACAACGGTGCAGACATCAATTTATGTAATAATGATGGATTCAGTCCTCTTCATATAGCCTGTCAAAATAGACATGATAACACGGTACAACTGTTACTAAACAACGGTACCGACATCAATTTATGTAACAAGAATAGAGCCAGTGCTCTCTCTATTGCTTGTTATAATGGACATGATAGCACAGTACAGCTTTTACTGAACAACGGTGCAGACATCAATTTATGTCATAATGATGGATTCAGTCCTCTTTATTTAGCCTGTGAAAATGGACATGATAGAACGGTACAACTGTTACTGGACAACGGTGCCGACATCAATTTATGTGATACTGATGGAGCCAGTCCTCTTTGTATAGCTTGTTTTGATGGACATGATAGCACGGTTCAATTGTTACTGAACAACGGTGCCGACATCAATTTACGAGATAATGAAGGAGACAGTCCTTTATCTATAGCTTGTCAAATTGGACATGATAGCACGGTACAACTGTTACTGAACAACGGTGCCGACGTTAATTTATGTACGAAGAATGGTCATCTTCATGTAGCTTATCCAACTGGACATGATAGCACGGCGCAACTATTACCGAACAACGGTGCTGACATCAATACATGTGAGAAGAATGGAACCAGTCCCCTTTAAATAGCATGTCAAAATGGATAGCACGGTACAACTGTTACTGAACAACGGTGCCAAAATCAATTTATGCGACAAGAATGAAGTGAGTCCTCTTAATATAGCTTCTGAGAATGGACATGATAGCACGGTACAACTGTTACTGAACATCGGTAGCGACATCAATTGATGTGATAAAGATGGAAACCGGTCTCTTTGCATAACTTGTGAAAATTCACATTGCATTACCATCGAACTTATATTTAATTCAGGTGCTGATGTAAATTTATGCACTAAAGGAATCTACAGTCTGCTGTTTGTAGCATGTTTCGATGGCAATGAAGGCATGGTTAAACTTTTAATGAACAATGGGGCAGACATCAATATATGTGACAATCAGGGAACCAGTCCCATCTCCATAGCCTGTGAAAACGGACATTACAGCACTGTCCACTTATTATTTCAAAACGATGCTTGTGTTAATTTATGCAATGAATACATGAGTCGGCTTTACATAGCATGTTTTTGTAATCATGACAGCATTATCCAACTTCTACTACAAAATGGTGCAGAAATAATACATTGACGACGGACTCAGTATACTTTCCTTTAAAGCTACCTAATACCAGTAGCGTTAAAATTTGTCTGGCATATGGAGCAAAAACCCCATTATGGCTTTTAAGTAGGCTGAAAAAATGAGCATGCTGCTTTCATAGAGAAATTATTCCATAGGAGAGGAGGAAAACCCTGTTATGGTCTTCAGTTTGACATTTAGACGTATCGTTTCCGCAAAATAAATAAACAAAAGTAATTTTCATCCATATATCAACTCGATATATCTTAGTGAGTCTGAAATAAATGGCACCAAACAAACTGTTACTTCCGTTCCATACTTGAATGTTTAGCTGGTTATAAGCGATGATGGTCAACTAACAACTTAACCATGAAACAAATTGGAGAACTATAGCCTCCCAATTGTCAACATCCCTTATTTTTGCATATTTATGCATTCATATTTCGCAAACACTTGTAGAAAACGTTAACGTCTTGCAAGGTATTCAATATATAAAAGCTTTCTTCAATTTCAACCAATATTTAAACCGAGGCAGGCTTCTGACAGTTGAATTGATGATGCAGGGATTTCACTCTTCAAGTCAGCATTTCGTCAAAGTCTGTTGTGGTTTTATTGACATTGTAAGGATCTATATTATATTATTGTGTCTTACTTTGGCAGACATGTTTTATACCGAGTGATTGTTTTTTTTTTTTTTTTTTTTTTTTTTTTTGTTAATTTGACAGAAAATGTTTCCACTTTCTATCTGATCGATGCATATGTCTCACGGCCTGTATGACGTATCAAAGGGGGATGTTTTCTTCTTTATGACATCCGATTCCTCATTTGGTGTTCTCAGGGTTCGTGTTTTATGCCCTGTTCACAGATAGGTATTTAAAAAAAAAAAAAAAAAAAAAAAAAAAAACCTTGATTAATTCCAAAATCTTCTTGGGCAAAATAATTTTGCGAGATGGAAACTCTGTATTTTAAAGCAAGATGGATACATTACATTTCAAAGTAAATTTTGTGTAATTGTTCTATGTCATATTTCATTATATGTTCATAAGCAAAAATTAAATGTTTACTGGTAGACGCAAATATAAAGTTATCTTAAAAAGTGATTTACAATTATTATTTAGTTTAACTTCATTTAAGTTCAAATGTCATTGAGTTGTCTTTTTATTGTACTTCTTTTATTTAGTATAAGTTGGATTTACAAAAGAATTTCAGTAAATGAAAATTTGTCTCTTGAAATTTGAAATTTCAAGAGAGCAAACTATTACTTTTCTATTGATTTTGTTGGTTTGATTTGCTTTATAGTGTTTTGTTTTATATTATGCATTGTTTATTGTTTGTAATCTAGGAGAATGTATTCCCTTTTTTACGAAAGGAAGAAGGAAGGAATGTTGAAAATATATTTGTTGTGCAATATTGTCTTTATAACATCGACAATTATAACACGAGTTACAACTGAATTTGAAATTTTAAAATTATGCAATAAATGTGGCATAAGTTATTATGAAATTTGCAAATCTTGTTTGTGTTTGATATAATAGTACATGTAAATATATTATTTGATACAGTTTTATATTATATCATATTTTGTGTTTATGTGTCTGAAATTATAATCTATCATTTTAAATGAAATGACAATTTTTTTTCCTGCTAGACCATCATTTATAAACTGCATTGTCGACGGATTTTTCTGTTTTTTCCTGTACCTTACAATAAGCACACGCCTGAAGTAACCAGTCGGCATAAGATGTTAATTCATGGTAGCTGATTATACATGTACTTCTGATGATTTTGGATGTGTTTACTCTGCTATTATTATGTAACATATGTAATGGAATTTTGAGCTTGAAAATTGTTCATTATCTCCATATTTTTAATTAGATTGTGTAATCGAACAACCCTTATAACTATGGACTAGAGAGCGTGAAACTAATGCTAACAGAATTGCTTTCATTGTATTGAGCAGTCATGATAACTTACAAGATTTTGTTTTAACCTAAAAATAATTTCAGAGAAGTTTAGGAAGTGTTTAAAATATACTGAACAAAAAAAGAAACGCATAATCAGAATAATATGAAATTCTAAGTTTTCAGTTTAAACCTTATATTACTTAAGCGATTTTAGAGTGTGTTGTCATAAAAATCAATGTTGCAAATTGAAAAATCAAGTTGAGATCATTTTCATTGCCCCCAAATTCAAGGGGCGTAACAATATGTACTGTGTAAAGTCTCAATGTTAGTGGGTTTCCAATGTACGGATATCGTGGGGGAATATCATCTCATTTCAGTCTCATGCGAAGAATTTATGCATTTTTATGCTGATTTTTTTTATCCAGCAATTGTAGCAGCAGATTTTACAGCAAGTTCTGAATCGCATGAGGTGATGGGGGGGGGGGGGGTGTCTGACGGTCCTGCCTGGTTGTGGTTACCTGCGGATGGCCAGATAGTGGTCTTCAGACGTTAGTTTTAAGGTTGCAAAGCCCATTGATTTATTTCAAATACAGTTGCAACTTCCTGTTGCGTAGCTCCATTTAGTATCATCGTTAGCCTGGTTGTATCCATCTTTGTTTGGGCGTGGCATTGCAGTATTAACATTGCAATCAAATCTTAAATATGGGTTTAATAGAAGTGTTAAAAAATTCTCTAATTCCAAAATATCAATGAAAATAGACATCTGATTTAGAAGAAATCATGAAAAACACTACTTTCATAAACATGTTTAAACAAGGGAGATAATTCAACACTTGGGTTTTAAAACCCCATGTTGTCCTTTAAATAGGTCACAGGTATCCAATGATATAAAAAATAGTTGTTTCATGTACATTTTAAAACTTTCTTTGACGAGTAAAACAATATGCGTTTCTTTTTTTGTTGAGTATATGTTTGACATGCAAGCACAAGAAAAATAGAGAATTATGATTTAAAGTTGTTTTTAAGTCATTTACATATATCATGACACATGGAATAGATTGGTTTGTAAAGAAAAGATCGGGAAAATTTTGGAGTTCAAGTCGGATAATATCTTTTAAAATGCTTTAAAAATAATAGAGTATGGCATTTTCCGAAAACTAATCAAGTTATTTGGACGCAGATTTGATGTAAATAATTTTTTTTACCAGTTTTTTGTATAAAATCATGATTTGTTGTAATAGCATTTCGCCTGGTAACATAAAAAATGAACTTATTCTATCTGGATATTATTAAAACTACGACATTTGGGACGTGTTTGATTGACACATCCTTGCACAAACCAAACTTTATTCATGATCATATGTTAGACAGATAGATATGCTGTTGTGTATTAATAAAATATATTCTAACTGTAATTCAGAAAATTCAAAATAACGTTAAAAATGAATTGTTCATTGGAAATACATTTTTTTTTTCAAATAAATCACAATTGTTCAAAATTTGGAGTTCTTTTATATATTTATGTGCATTGGAAATACAATTTTAACTATTATTTTATTTTTTTCATGCTTCTTTTCGAAGAAAGGAAGGCATATTGCTTTGCTGCTGTCTGTAGGCGGGTCTGTCCACCAACAGTTGCCTTTCTGTTTGTTCACAGAGGTTGCTTTTACTGAGATTGAATTTGGTAAACAGATTTATCACAAGCACACCTAAGTCAAATCCTTTTTTGAGTACATTGTACTATCGACAAATTCTTGACGGAATATTTCCTCTTGGACTTGGAAAATTGCCAATTATAAGCAGTGCCCGTTCTTTTTCCTCTCAAAAGTTGCACATACTGAATGAAATTTGTAACAAAGATTTATCATAAGAATATCAAGGTCAGGTTTTATTTGTTTAAGATCTTTTACAGAGTTATGTCCCTTGGACCTATGAATTTCCATTTCCTTTGAAGAGAATGCACATGGTAAAATGGGATTTTGGTGTACAGATTTATCATTACAATATGTCGATCAAGGTCTCTTTTACGTACGAACTAGCAATTACTGACAGAATCATGACTCATGAATTAAGAAAAATACCAATTATATGTTGCGGGGTTTTAACTGTTTTATAAACATTTCATGTTTTTAAGAATTTTGTACGTGCAGATCGTTATTTGTGTATCAAATCGGTAGACAGTTTGATATTTTGATATCCAATTTAAACAAAACTTATTTAAAAATTGCTAATTTTCTGAAGTATTAAGGATATTGTTAAAATTTGTGAAAGTGCAAGGATGTGTTAATCAAACACTTCCTTAAATTCGTAGATCAAAATAACTTCCAGGAACTACGGAAGCGTAGTAGTATTATTTGAAACTTCACTTTTTTTTAATTTCTACACTTTAATATGTAAATTTTACACTTGAATCTGTAAAATTTACACTTTAATCTGTAAATTTTACACTCTAATCTGTAAATTTTACACTTTAATGTGTATATTTAACACTTTAATCTGCAATTTTTACACTTTAAAGTATAAATTTTACACTTTAAAGTGTAAATATT